AGAGAGAACAAAGGCACACACATGTAGAGAACAAAGGCGCACACAAAGCAGTGAAACGTGTTGCTGTTTATGACACTTGTGTTCAGATCAGTGAGATGAATTGAAAAGGCAAACACAACAGGCGATTTATTCCATCACTGAAACAGATGCCCCGTCTAAAATGTATGGGAAGTGGAAGAAATTAGTTTGTATGTGTGTTCAGTGATACTTGTTTGCTAAGATGTAGGAAAAGTTTTTAAATTATTTTCAGAATCATGTAGATAGACACCTTATTTTATTGCCCCCAGATACTTACAATAAATTCCATGCTGTTTTATTAGAATTCTACACTGTTCACATGACTTCCAAAACATCAACAGTGAGCAGGGAGGGAAAAGAAAATTGGACTTTTAACTTTAATACAAAAATCACTGAAGGACCAGTTCACCCAAATCAACAGGAACATTTGTCTTATATACTTAGTAGCACAAAGCCATGCAGTTTTAAGCTGTTTGTAACTTCTGTCTATTTATTACAGCTTTTTCTACAAGAAGGTTGTTTTGTGGTGGAGGCCAAACTTTCAGCACATCAACAGAAAAAATATGACTATGTCCAAAATCACTCTGTGTTTATAGTCCACTATATTTACTGTCTGTGTCCATATTCTGAATGTATGCATTACATCGCGCTCTCAAAACCTCTGTGATGGAACAATAAAAACTGTGTGGTTGGTATATAAACTTCTTTCTGCAAACAATCCCAGAATTCAATGTGTCACATTTTATAGATGTGAAAATTACTGTTGTGTGACTCTACTTACTCTGAATGAATTTCAAGATGTGTTCCTCCCTTTCTGTCTTCATCACCTCTTTGTGGTTTTGCTTGGCTTTTTATCCATAGATTTAGAGAATAGAGGGTTCTTGTAAAGGAGGGTTGGTCCTTTGCAATGTTATTTGTTTGGTTTGGAAGACTCGATGCATGGACTTGGACTTCTACTGACGGGGTAACTTGGTAGGGGAGGGGCGGAAGGAGAGGAGGCTAATATGGATTAGTTTAAATAGACACATTAAACCATGAAAGGTTGTTTATCTGTGAGTATCAGACATCGCCTCTTAGAATCCAGGGGGCTTTAGAGTATTAGGTTTGTGTGTGTGTGCATGTATGTGTGTTGCAAATAGTGGTGAGATATAATTGTCCTCCATGAAACAAACATGACAGCGCCTTGAGATCACTTTGACCACAGTCCTTCGCACGCACACACACACACACACACACACACACATACCAAAACACACAGAGAAAGAGGTGGGCGCGCAATATTCAGGGTCACTTTTACTACTAGAAAAAATAAGAAAGACTCAAGGTTACCAAAGATGAATGTATTCACAAGGGAGTAAAGATAGCAGGTTCTTGAATTAACCCTCTGACCTTTAAGTGGAGAACAGAAAGTTAAAAAAAGGACACAAATGAGGCCAATTAGGTAAGATGGTATTATTTGATCTATCTCTTTTTATTCTGTACTAATGGTCAAGTTGAACACCTTAGTTATGTTGTACGCCTGTGCTGCCATTTGCCTCAAGTGTTAGCACACAAAGCTTTGTTCATATCTGTCACAAAACAACTGAGCAGTTGCCATTGACTGTCACCATCTGACCAGGCATAAATAATAAAGGCTTTTCTGTTTTGAAATCAAAATATTTGTGGGGATTACTCATCACCACACCATAACAAGCCGTTCAGATGCTGCAGCCGGGAATGAGCAACATGGCTGCAGCCAGTGATCTGACAGACAGCTGTGAGAAGTGTATGTGTCTGCTGGTGTCTGATTAGGACCCCCCCACCACCCCCCTCTCTCGCTTACATAACAGGCGATCTGCAGCATAATCTGTATGTGCGTGTACAGAAGTGAGAGCAAGTTTGTGCAATGTGTGACTCAGAGAGTATGTGTGACCTAGAAATGTCGAACAGTCTCTCATGGCTTCATTACAGCATAAGGCGAACATTCAGAATCTATAACCTTCAGATTATTACCCTACTCCCTCCCTGAGACTGTGCCTCATCCTTGTGTGTCAGTTTTTTTTTTGTGTTCTATCGTTATTCCCCACTAAACTCCACTCTCTGCTGCGCTCTTTTATTGTTCTGGTATTGTTGTCCCCCAGTTTTCTTTTAACACAAACATGAGAATGTCCTGGATAGTTTAGGAAGATTAGGAGACAAGTTTCTGTTAACGACATCAATTTTAATTATTTTAACTTATTTTTTGAGAAGTAATTTGTTTACGTGGAAGATGGATGCAAATGTTATGATACCCATGAGCCTAAAATGCAGTGAACATTGGCACTTTATGGTAAGTGACAACTGTTGCAGACAAAGTGTGCACTAGTCCGAAGACTGAATTTGAGAAAATAGCTCCTTATATGCACATCAGTGTGTATATGGGAATTTGGTGTGTAGACTCGGTGCAGGGGTCTTGAAACCCATCACATGCCACCACATGAGCACTGCCTCGCAGGCACAGCACAATCAGAGTGATTTTTTGTTACAAGTGGGAACAAAACTGTGACAGAATTGCTGAATTCATTCATGACTGAAGCAGAGTATCTCAGACACCTGATCACCTCCCCAAGTACATTGAAATGGAAATTTAATTTAATTTCAACTGTCAAATGTTTTATCAGGTGTGCACACAGGAGAATTTAGGGACTAACATAGAACCAGAAAAGTATCATTCTCTTCCAAGCTTTGGACTTGTACAAGTGCCAGTCACCTGACGTTGTTTGTACAGACAGTGAACAGGACTTTCACTACTGGAGCTCTGAATACCTGAAACACCTTCTCCAACTTTGCAACAGAGATAAGGAAGGCAGTACAGGAGAGTTATCAGTTCTAGGTCCTACACACAGAACCACTGCAGCATTTCACTGCCTCTCTGTGG